TGAGTGGATACTCAACAAAGGTTTGCTGAATGGGTATAAATGTTGGTTGACAAGTTAGTTAGGTGACTTGACTTGGTTAATTTCTGGTTGATTAAATAATTAAATGGATTGGTTAATAGACGAGTCAGCTAGTAGGAGACTAGATTAGTCAACTAGTTAGTCACAGGGTTGGTTGACGAGTTGCTAATTGTTTAGTTCTTGGGTTAGCAGGTCACTTAGGTCCTTATCTGGTGTCTGAGCTGGTTTCCTTGAGTGGCTTCATCTCTTCTCAATTCTATAGCCTATCATCTGTGCTCAGGGCTTGAATGACTGAGATGTGCTGGCTTCCCAAGGTCTCTCTCCAAGTGCGACCCGACTGAGCCTCATAACCAGGTGTGTCTTTACTTGTCATATCCAGGAAGGTGTCTGGCAGCTTTCTCAAGCTCAACACACCCCTCCTGATTCCTTATGCCCTTGCCCATACTTGCTGCTTCTCACATGTGGCCCATGTTGGTCACCCCATTGCTCTCACTAATACCGCAGGTCATCATTGCCACTTCGGCGCCTTTCCAAGTCTGTTCTCTGTTATTTGGTCTCTGCTTTCATCAGGCAGCTCATAAGCTTTCCTCCAGGCCTGAAGAGGCTACAAGTTACAGGGCCAGGGACACCCCTATAGGATGCTCAGAGGGAGATCAAGTTGCATCAGGGCTGGTGGTTGTCTAGACAACTCGAGATGCTCAGGTGTGGATTTGGGTCTTTGAATCAAGGACCAGAGCAAGGACTGCAGTGGGTGAGCAGTGAATCTGGGCTCTCCAGGGAAGTGGACGGTGTTTAATTCCATGAGGGGCTGGCTTCTCCCATTCCCTTTGCTTCTTGTTGTCATGTGAAGGCAGGGCAATTTGGGAAGCCTGTGGGGTGGGGTAACGGAAAGGTCTGGTGTCAGCTTCCAGGCCTCCGGACCATGGGGAGGGCATTGCCCATCAGAGGAAACACTAGGGCCACCACTGCTCCTCCTCTGTAGCCCCAGACACATCTCATCCCCAGCTCCAACCCTAGGCAATGGCATCTGTTTGGCATTGTTCCTTTGTTCATAAATGCGGCCCACCCCGCATTTATCCAACCACTATGTATCAAGTGCCTACCAAGTGCAGATCATTGCAGGACGTTTAGGGATTCGGTGGCAAGGGAGACAGAGAAACCCCCAGTCTTCATTCAACCGATGCTCCTGACATGGTGCTGAGTACTGAAGATACACTGGGAGCAGGGCAGATGATCCACTTCCCTTTTCTTTCAGCTCTCATTCATCCCAACATCTGTTTGCCTTCACAGCGGGAGGCCCCAGCCCGCTGGAAACAGACCTGTTGTTGTTGTCGAGCAAAACACTGCTATCAGACTTTCCTGTGACCCCAAGTTCTGGCCCCCAGAGATAGGCAGGCTAATAGATAACTGAGCTCCATGCTCCTATCTGCACTCCTAACTTGCCCTGCTGTTGCCCCCCCCACCCCACCCCCGTTTCTTTGGCTTCACAGCTTAAATTTACCATCTCCCCATCTCCCCCCTCTGCCAAGTGGGCTTGCTGGTGTGCCCTTCCCATTGCTCTAGTCCAGACCAGAAGAAAGGAGGGGCCATATACACCCAGTCCCTCTCTGTGTCCCTGTGACTCTCAGATGTCTCTGATCCTTTCTGTCCTAACTGCCCTGGTCGAGAGGAGGCGTGTGCGGAAGTGCTGTTGGATTACCCATTAACTCAGCCATGAGTTGAAAGGCCGATGGGCAGCAAGCTGACTTGAGCCTCAATCTGCCCATGGGCTCACACAGCTGCTTGTGTCCATCCATAACTCCACGATGGTCTCCCCATCCATAATAATAAGGTTACAAGCGAGAATGCACAAGAAGACCATTCGGAAGTTCCTGGCCGAGTTCTTGAGCACCTATGTCATGATGGTGAGTGGGGAGGTAGCACAAGAAGGGGTGGGGGTGGGTGGGGGGTTATGCAGGGGCATGAACTGCAGGACCCCAGGCTGGTGAGGCTTAGCAAAACCAGTCCCTGAACCCCCCTCACGCTTCCTCCTAGTCTACTGGTCCCAATGGACCACACTGTCCATTCCCCTGCCCATGAGCTGAGGAGGACCTGAAACATAGGGAAGCAAGAAGAAGGCCCTGTTGAACCAAATCTTTCTGGGGGAGAAAGGCTCATGATGTCTGCAGGTCAAATGAAGCCACGGGACGAGGGCAGGGAAGAAGTGGAGAGAAGGGGAACGAATGACAGAGAAGTGAAAGAGAACCTCGAATGGCAGGCTTTGAGAACGAACCCTGAAGATGATGGGGGAGACCCTGACGGGTACCAAGTCAAGGGGCGATGCAGTCAGTGTGGGATCTTAGAAGGTAATTCTGGGTGCAGTGCCCAGCCTAAGAAGGAAGGACATGGCTGGGGGACCGGACAATGATCCAGGCTGGAACAAGGGTGGTGGCTGGTCTAGGGCATGGGACGGAAAGCCCGTGTCTGAAAGAGTTTGAGAAGATGGCATGAGGGGGGCTCGTAAGCGACAGATGTGGGGTGTCGGCTGATGAGGCCATTGTCTGAGCAGGAGGTTCAGCACGGGCGAGATGGAGTTAGCTTGGGCCTCCAGATGGGTCTTCCTTGTAGAGATAAGGGGTCTGGAGCTCAAGAGAATGACGTGGCTGGAAGTGAGAGCGGAAGTCCACGTGTAGGCAGATACTGCTTCTAAAAAAGGTCCCGAGTGTACAGAAAGAGGTTGAGGACAGAACTCGGAGGGATAGA